AACAATGTTTTAATAAATTGGTACAGTTCTGATCGATTATTTAGGGCCAGTGTTTCAAATTAATACTAATGTAGTCTGATCTCTAGTACAGCCTGATCTGCTATAAAGTCTAGACTATAGTCTGCTCTATGGTCCAGACTATAGTCTACTCTATAGTCCAGACTATAAACTGCTCTATAGTGTAGACAATAATCTGCTCTATAGTCCAGACTCTGCTCTTTAGTCCAAGCTATAGTCTGCTCTATAGTCCAGACTATAATCTGCTCTATGGCCCAGACTGTCTGCTCAATAGTCCAGACTACAATTTGCTCTATAGTCCAAATTATAGTCTGCTCTATAGTCCAGACTATAGTCTGCTCTATAATCCAGACAATAATCTGCTCTAAAGTTCAGACAATAGTCTGGTCAATAGTCCAGACTATAGGCTGCTCTATAGTCCAGACTATAGTTTGCTCTATCTGCTTTATAGTCCAGACTATAATCCGCCCCATAGTCCAGACTATAGTCTGCTCTATAGTCTGCTCTACAGTTCAGACCATAGTCTGCTCAATAGTCTGGACTATAGTCTGCTCAATAGTCCAGGCTATAGTCGGCTCTATAGACCCGACTATAATCTACTCTATAGTCCAGACTATAATCTGCTCTATAGTCCCGAATATAGTTTGCTCTATAGTTCAGACTATAATCTGCTCTATAGTCGAGATTATAGTCTGCTCTATAAAGCAGTCTATAGTCTGGACTATAGAGTAGACTATAGTCTGGACCATAGAGCAGACTATAGTCTAGACTTTTTTAGTCTGGTCTATAATTCAGACTATAATATGCTATATAGTCCAGACTATAGTCTGTTCTATAGTCCAGACTATAGTCTGTTCTATAGTCCAGACTATAGTCTGTTCTATAGTCCAGACTATAGTCTGTTCTATAGTCCAGACTATAGTCTGTTGTATAGTCCAGACTATAGTCTGTTCTATAGTCCAGACTATAGTCTGTTCTATAGTCCAGACTATAGTCTGTTCTATAGTCCAGACTATAGTCTGTTCTATAGTCCAGACCATAGTCTGTTCTATAGTCCAGACTATAGTCTGTTCTATAGTCCAGACTATAGTCTGTTCAATAGTCCAGACTATAGTCTGTTCAATAGTCCAGACTATAGTCTGTTCTATAGTCCAGACTATAGTCTGCTCTATAGTCTAGACTATAGTTTGCTCTATCTGCTTTATAGTCCAGACTATAATCTGCTCTATAGTCCAGACTATAGTTTGCCCTATCTGCTTTATAGTCCAGACTATAGTCTGCTCTATAGTCCAGACTATAGTCTGTTCAATAGTCCAGACTATAGTCTCCTCTATAGTCCAGACTATAGTCTGTTCTATAGTCCAGACTATAGTCTGTTCTATAGTCCAGACTATAGTCTGTTCTATAGTCCAGACTATAGTCTGTTCTATAGTCCAGACTATAGTCTGTTCTATAGTCCAGACTATAGTCTGTTCAATAGTCCAGACTATAGTCTGTTCAATAGTCCAGACTATAGTCTGTTCTATAGTCCAGACTATAGTCTGCTCTATAGTCCAGACTATAGGCTGCTCTATAGTCCAGACTATAGGCTGCTCTATAGTCCAGACTATAGGCTGCTCTATAGTCCAGACTATAGTTTGCTCTATCTGCTTTATAGTCCAGACTATAATCTGCTCTATAGTCCAGACTATAGTTTGCCCTATCTGCTCTATAGTCCAGACTATAGTCTGTTCAATTGTCCAGACTATAGTCTCCTCTATAGTCCAGACTATAGTCTGCTCTATAGTCCAGACTATAGTCTGCTCTATAGTTCAGACTATAGTCCGCACTATAGTCCAGACTATAGTCTGCTATATAGTCCAGACTATAGTCTGCTATATAGTCCAGATTATAGTCTGCTCTATAGTCGAGACTATATTCTGCTCTATAGTCCAGACTAGAGTCTGTTCCATAGTCCAGACTAAAGTTTCCTCTGAAGTTCAAACTAGAGTCTGTTTCATAGTCCATATTATATAGACTTTTTGAAATTTCCCTCACTGTAAATTTTTACATATCTTTGCAAAAAAAAAAAGCAAAATCTGGTCACCTTAAGAAATAATATAATAATTAAATAAAATAATTTTGTAAAATGAATGAAATGAAAGGAAAAATTTGCCCTTTACCTTCACATTGTTAAGAACTAAAGCTAAAGAAGAACAAAATATAATATTTATTATAAACAATTTTCTACAACTACTACTTATTTTCTTTTTTTAATAATAAGAATAAATAGAAAATATTATTTTGAAAATTTTTAAAAACAAGAAAATAAATAAATAATAATGATTATAATACGATTATAACCATAAAAATTGTATTCTTTGTTTTAATTTCTTTCTTTCATTCTTTTTCAAAATCATTTGTATTGAAAGTGTTAAAAGAATGTGTTGAATATTCAATTCATATATATGTTTTTTTGAAGAATTAGTCTGTGCTTAAAGCTTCTTTTTGGTAGATTGTGTGTGTGTTTTTTTAAAGAGGCAATAATAAACAATAATTTTTGTATTAATACTTTATGAAAAGAAACCTATAGAGGCAATCAAATTTAAATAAAAAAAAAGAAAAAAGTTTGTTTAAGATATAACAATTTATAAACATTTTAAACGAAAAATTTCAATACAAATTTAAAGATAAATATAAATATAATAAGGTGTTAATTGATGACTTTGTATAGTGAAGCAAAGGAAAAAATTGAACTAAATTTATGAATTTTTAATAATTGTTATAAGTTTGAGTTAATGTTAAAAAGTGTTAAAAAAAGGGCCATAGGGCCTTATTCATAACAATTTATTAAAGGTTTATGAAACAAAATTTTCCAACAAAATTTGTTCTACAAACCTTAGATAAATGATTATGAATAATATTAAATAGTCTTAACAAAAATATGCTCCATAGTCCTGACAATAGCCTACTCTATAGTCTTCATAATAGTCTGTTCTATAGCCGAATGTATAGTTTGCTTTATAGTCGAGTCAAAAGTCTGCTGCATTGTCGAGACAATAACCTGCTTTATAGTCGTAAAAATGTATAGTTCTATTGTCTTGAAGATCGTCTGCTCTATAGTCTACTCTATTGTCGAGATAATAATTTGTTCTATAGTCTTGATAATAAACTGCTCTATTATAAAGACAATAGTCTTAACGAGACAATAGTCTGTTCAATAGTAGAGTCTAAAGTCCATAACCGAGGCTATAGTTTGTACTACAGCCAAGAAAATAATCTGCTCTATAATAAAGAATAGTCTATTCGAGACAATAGTCTTTTATATTGTCTAGACAATAGTCTACTATATAGTCGAGGCAACGATACGTAGTCTGTTCTATAGTCTTGATAATAGTCTGTTCTATAGTCTAGACAATAGTCAATCAATAGTCAGTCCCATAGTAAAGGCAATAAATAGTTTAATCGAGTCTATAGTGTATTCCGTAGTCGAGTCTATATTCAAGATAACAGTCTGTTCTATAGTCGAGTAAATAATCAGATCCATAATCGAGATAATACTCTGTTTTATATTCAAGACTAATCTCTAATCTATAGCCAAGACAATATGATTTGTTTATAGTCAAGTCAATAGTCTGATCTATAGTCAAGGCAATGCACTTCTTCATAGTCGTGACACTAGTATGTTCTATAGTCCAGACTATAGTCTGCTCTATAGTTCAGACAACACCCTGCTATATAGTCGAGACAACACCCTGCTTTATAGTCATGACAATAATCTACTTTACAGTCGAGACAGTAGTCTGCTCTATAGCCGAATGTAGAGTCTGGTCTATAGTAGAGACAATAGTCTGTTCCATAATCAAGACTATAGTCTGGTCTATATTAATAACAATAATCTATTCCATAGTCGAGTCAAAAGTCTATTCCATAGTCGAGACAATAGTCAGTTTTATAGTCAATTAAAAGGTCTGTTGTGTAGTCGAGACAATAATCTATTCTACAGCGAAGAGTCTGCTCTATAACCGAGACAATAGTCTGTTCTATATTCAATGAATGCTTTTCTCTAAAGTCGAGACAATAGTCTGCTCTATAGTCGTGACACTAATCTGTTCTATAGTCTTCTTCATATTCGACGCTATAAACTGCTCTATAGTCAAGAAAATAGTCTGCTCTATAGTAAGGACAATAGTCTGTCCTAGAGAGAATAGTATACTCTATAATAGAGGCAATCTTTTGTTCTATAATAGACGGTATTCTCTGCTCTATAGTTCAGACAATATCTGAATTATAGACTATTGACGCATCTTTTATAGACGCGTCAGTATTATAGCCGAGACAATAGTCTGCTGTATAGTCGTAACACTAGTCTGTTCATAGTCGAGGCAATAAACTGCTCTATAGTAAGGACAATAGTCTGTCCTAGAGAGAATAGTCTACTCTTTAATCAAGACAATCGTTTATTCTATAATCAACGGTATTCTCTGCTCTATAGTTCAGACAATATCTGAACCATTCACTATAGTTGAGACAATATTCTGTTGGTCTTGATAATATCATGTCCGACAAGAGACTTTAGTCTTAAACTGAGACTTTAGTAGAGGCATGTTGTAGTTTTATAGTGAAGTCAATAGTTCGTTCTATAGTCCACACTATGGTTGAGACAATAGTTTCATCTATATATAGCTGACACCATAATCTGCTGTATAAACTTGACTATAACTTGTTATGTAGTCGAAGTTATAGTCGGTTCTTTAGTCAAGACTATAGTCCAAACTAAAGTCGGTTCTATAGATTATAATACACTGAAAAATTGTTATATTTGCGCAGGTAAAAAACTTTATTGTCTCAAACAAATTTAAGCACTTTTCTGAGGAAACTTATTTTCAATCGAGAAAGGAAATATTAAAATTGTTCACGATTTTATATATAAAATCTTATTGTTTCACAGTTTTTTCTTTAAAAACACTTTTCTATAAAATTGTAACTTATTTAATGCTTACAGCAGTATCGAGATAACCAAAAGGATCATCATCATCTGATGATGAATCAGAGTCACGACCGTGTTCAGCTGGCGGTGGGCAAGGATAAAATGCTTGCGATTTAATGCGTGGCTGTCGTTGGGCATGTCGCAATTCTTCCTCCATTGATGTTGTACTACTGCGTCGCTGGCGTAACTGATGAATAAATTTCTCAAAATCAGCCCATTCAGAATCGACTTGTTCGACATTTTCTTCACCGAATTCCTCATCATGTATAATGCGTTCAACATGCTTTTGCATGCGATCACGTTCGCGTTCTCTATCGCGTAAATAAACCATATTTTTTGTTTTTTTTTTTACAATAATAATAAAATCAATAATATTGAGCGAGAAATTTTCAATAAATGTTATTGTTTTTTTCTTTTGTTAAATAGGCAATTAACGTTTTTTTTTCTATTGTTTTTTTCTTCTCAGTTTCTCAAAGTAGTTTAAATTAATGTTAAAATAATTGTATCAATTGATGTCGAAATTTTGTCACTTTCAATCATCACCGAGAGGCAAAAAGATACAAAACATTTATTAAATTGTTTTGCTATTAAATATAATAAATTTTCTATGTTTTTTTTTTTTTTTTTCTTTGGTTCCCAGTTAATGGCGTTTTTTCGTTTTTTAATATAAATTTCTTTCTTTAATATATAAATTTTTGTATTAATTTTCTTTCTTTAAAAAATTATTTCGTGTCTCGTTTTTGCTTAAGATATCATTTAAACTTTTCAACGTTTTCAACTCAACTAAATAAATTTCAAGTCATTTGAAATTTTTCTTTAATAAATGAGGTTTAAATTTCAATCACAAATTACTCCCCCTCGTTACCCCCAAAACTGTTTATAAATTGAGCTTTAACTCAAAATTTTCGCACGTAATTTGAGTTGTTCAAATAAAAAGATCTTTAACCCCAAAAGATTTATGTTTTATTCTGTAAGCTACAAATATCTTGATTCTTTGTTTAACTATTTGAAAATGTAAAAAATGAAATAAAGAATAATTTTATAATGAAATTTAAATCTCTAGTATAGAGAAAATTCATAGATCCACATGCCCACAGGCAGGCGTTTAAGTTTGAGTTTGAGCTTAAATAATTTAATTGAGTCAAAAGTGTTATTTCTTGTTATCGTGTGTATCATCTTCTTCCTCTTCTTCTAATCGTACATACTGATATACAATCCCAACCCATCTCATCTCAGTTTCAATTTTAGTTTTTTCTTAATAATTTTCAAATTTACTTTTGTTCATACATGTACATATGTTTACTTAGAGTGTGTTTAAATATGTTTGCTGCCTTTATTGGCGGCCGGTTGATTCTCCTCTTTTATAATATTTATTTTATTTTTATTAAATTCATTAACTTAACCATTTAACGCCTGTGTAAATGCTTGAATAGTTACACTGAGCAAAAAAGTTTATTATTTATGTGTTAATAAACTTCAACGAGAAATGGTTCAAGGACCGATTTATAGTAATATAGAGTATATATAGTTGCCTTTATAATTCTATTTAATGTTTTTTCTGTAGTAAACCCTATATTGTAATCTATAATCGAAACAATGGATTACTTTATACACTACAATCTGATATGCAATGAATACTATGTATCTATGTATAGTCGAGACTGTAGTTTAATCTTTAGTCGTTACCATGATATAATCAATAACCAATAGTCTAATCTGTATTCCAGGCTAATATATACTTATACTCTAATCTGTATTCAAGACTACGGTATGATCTATAGTCCAGACTATGGACTACTCTATATAGTCTCTAATCTATAGTCCAAACTATGATCTAATCTTAAGTCGAGACTATGATTTAATCTATAACCTGTAGTCTAATCTGTAGTTGACTACAGTCTTATCTATACTCTAATTCATAGTCGAGTCTACAGATTATTCTAGATACCAGATTATGGTCATCTATATAGCGTAGAATCTTATCTTTACTCCAGATTATAGTTTAAAGTATAGACGGGAATATATAGTTTAATAGCCAAGACTACAGTCTATTCTACAGTATAGACTATGGACTTCCATAAAGCCTTTAAACTAATCTTTAGTCCAGCCTATAGCCTTGTAGTCGGGACTATAATTTAATCTTAAGTCGAAACTATGATGTAATCTATATTCTAATCTATAATCGAAACTACAGTCTTATCTTTCCTCTAATCTATAGCAGAAACTACAGTTTAAATTATAGACCAGACTAGGGTCTAAACAGAAACTAAAGTTTAATCTATAGACCAGAATATGGTACACTATATAGTACACTTTAGTCTAGACTATAGACTATAAACTATAGACGAGAATATAGTCCACTATATAGCATTTGTAGTCCAGACTATATTAATACTATGGACTCCTAAATAGCCTTTAAATGTATGTATAGTTCAGATTATAGTCTAGTCTATAGTCGAGACTATAATCTAATCTTTAGTCGAATAGTCTAACTCAATAGTATAATCTGTAGTCGAGACTTCAGTTTAATCTATGGCCTGTATTTTGATTTGTTGTCTACAGTCTAATCTGTAGTCGAGACTGTAGTTTAATCTATATTCGAAACTGGAGGGGAAGCGAGAGAAGAGAGAGGCGAGGCGGAGGAGAGAAGCAGGAAAGGAGCCCAGGAGGCGAGGCGGGAGGCGAGAGGACGAAGGAAAACGAAAGAACGAACGAACGAACGAACGAACGAACGAACGAACGAAGAACGAACGAACGAAGAACGAACGAACGAACGAACAACGAACGAACGAACGAAACGAACGAACGAACGAACGAACGAACGAACGAAAAACGAACGAAGAACAACGAACGAACGAACGAACGAACGAAACGAACGAACGAACGAAGAACGAACGCACGAACGAACGAACGAACGAACGAACGAACGAACGAACGAACGAACGACGAACGAACGAACGAACGAACTAACAACGAACGAACTAAAGAACGAACGAACGAACGGAACGAACGAACGAACGAAGAACGAAACGAACGAACGAACGAACGAACAACGAAACGAAAACGAACGAACGAACGAACGAACGAACGAACGAACGAACGAAACGAACGAACGAACGAACGAACGAAACGAACGAACGAACGAACGAAACGAACGAACGAACGAACGAACGAACGAAGAACGAACGAACGAACGAACGAACGAACGACGAACGACGACGAACGAACGAAACGAACGAACGAACGAACGAAGAACGAACGAACGAACGAACGAACGAACGAACGAACGAACGAACGAACGAAACGAACGAACGAACGAACGAACGAACGAACGAACGAACGAACGAACGAACGAACGAACGACCGAACGAACGAACGAACGAACGAACGAACGAACGAACAACGAACGAACGAACGAACGGAACGAACGAACGAACGAACGAACGAACAAGAACGAACGAAAAAACGAACGAACGAACGAACGAACGAACGAACGAACGAACGAACGAACGAACGAAACGAAACGAACGAACGAACGAACGAACGAACGAACGAACGAACAACGAACGAACGAACGAAACGAACGAACAGAACGAACGAACGAAACGAACGAACGGAACGAACGAACGAACGAACGAACGAACGAACGAACGAACGAACGAACGAACGAAACGAACGAACGACGAACGAACGAACGAACGAACGAACGAACGAACGAACGAACGAACGAACGAACGAACGAACGAACGAACGAACGAACGAACGAACGAACGAACGAACGAACGAACGAACGAACGAACGAACGAACGAACGAACGAACGAACGAACGAACGAACGAAACGAACGAACGAACGAACGAACGAACGAACGAACGAACGAACGAACGAACGAACGAACGAACGAACGAACGAACGAACGAACGAACGAACGAACGAACGAAACGAACGAACGAACGAACGAACGAACGAACGAACGAACGAACGAACGAACGAACGAACGAACGAACGAACGAACGAACGAACGAACGAACGAACGAACGAACGAACGAACGAACGAACGAACGAACGAACGAACGAACTAACGAACGAACGAACGAACGAACGAACGAAAACGAAAACGAACGAAAACGAACGAACGAACGAACGAACGAACGAAGAACGAAAGAACGAACGAACGAACAACGAACGAACGAGAACGAACGAACGAACGAAGAACGAGAAGAACGAACGAACGAACGAACGAACGAACGAACGAACGAACGAACGAACGAAACGAACGAACGAACGAACGAAGAACGAACGAACGAACGAAAAAACGAACGAACGAACGAACGAACGAACTACGAACGAACGAACGAACGAACGAACGAAACAACGAACAAACGAACGAACGAAAACGACACAAACAAACAAAAACTAACGAACGAACGAACGAACGAACGAAACGAACGAACAAAACGAACTAACTAACGAACGAACGAACGAACAACGAACTAAACGAACGAACGAAGAACGAACGAACGAACGAACTAACGAACGAACGAAGAACGAAACGAACTAACGAACGAACGAAAACGAACGAAACGAACGAACTCACGAACGAACGAACTAAAACGAACTACCGAACAAACGAACTAACGAACAAACGAAAGAACGAACGAACGAACGAACGAACTAACTAACAAACTAACTAACTAACGAACTAACTAACTAAATAACTAACTAAACTAACTAACTAACTAACTAAACTAAGTACCTAAACTAACCTAACTAACTAACCTAACTAACTAACTAACTAACTAACTAACTAAGTAACTAACTAACTACTTAACTAACTAAATAACTAACTAATTATAAACGAGACCATTAGTCTATTCTGTAGTCGTGATGATTGACTAATCTGTCTAATCAATAGTCGAAACAATGACCAACTTTACAGACAAAACTTTGCACCGATCTACACTCGAGAACATAGTCTAATATTGTATGGAATATTATCTACTCTACTCTATATTCGAGGCTTAGCAAGATTACAGTTTAGTCTGTAGCCAAGACTGTAGTGTAATCTATTATCAAGTCTTAAGACTAATCTATGACCTAGACAATATATATAGCCAATGGTCTACTTTTGATTACACTATTGCCGAAACTATGGGCTAATCTATAAGCGACATCATAGTTTAACCAATAGCCAAAACTATAGCTTAGCATATAATCGATACTATAGTATAATCTGTAGTAGAATATATATAATCTAGACTATAGTATAATTTATAGTCTAATCTATAGTAACTATATTTAAAAGCCCACAATATGATATTGCCACACTGGACTAAACAATTTTGTTAAGAAAAAGCCTATACTTTTTTGCAACCCAGGGAACAACCATAGTAAAAACAATGATGCCCATAAACTGCTTTCACAAACGCCTAACAAGTTTTACCATAATAAAAATACCAAAAATTAATAACAATTTGTTTCAACATTTCTAATAGAACTAAACTTTTTAAAGATTTTCTTCAATGTGTGGTGGTCTTATTATTGTTATTATATCTTTTTGTTATTTGTTAATATTTTTTGTTTAAACAATTTTTTTATTACTTCTTTATATAGATAATTAGCATAGATT